ACAAATATAGTTTAATAATACTGTGTTCTAATAAAATACATATATAAACTTTTGATAGTAATTATCCTATTTGCAGATGTTATATTAGAAGAATTTTACTGTCAAGTGCAATAAATATATTAATGCCGGCACTTTTAGCAAACATATTATATTTACGATGAACGTATATATAAATCATCTATGAAACAGGCATTTGGCTAGTAACACCATCGCAGAAATTCACGAAGATTCCTTTAGTGAAATGAGTTATTTGGAAGAATTGTAAACTTACTAAAATTTAGCAGTTTTCAGAAGACTAAGTTGCAATTGATAAACTCAGATTCTACATTATAGGAATTTAAACGATAATATCCTTAGCTCCTTACCTCTTCGTTTATTTATATCACTTAAGAATTTGAAAATTCTGTAAGTATTGAATCATTGATCTTATAAAACAAATACATTAGTTGCTTATGAAATAATCATGCTATTCTATTAGTTTAATCTATCTGAGAGTATTTAGAATCATATCTTTAAAGTAAATGATATAGCACCAAATTATATTTCATGAGGATTTTCTCATTACGTTATGATAAATTCAGCAGTAGTTTCAAACTTATCGAAAATTCTGTATTCTATTTAGAGTATCGCATTTTAAGAAAAATATGGCAATGGCCAATAAAGAATCTGACTATTAGCCAGTAGTTCTAGTCTGCAAAAACTACATAAAATACGTCATGATAAAATTAATAGCAGGCCTTATCCTATAAATATAAGAATTTATGGCAATACTGAAGTAGCTTTGACAATTTTTATTCATTAGCTGAACAATTTTACAGCTTATTATGCTTCATTATTTAAATCTTAGAAAATAAAATTTTCAGCTTAAAAACGATCCAATCATACTATCCTCTTAATAATCAGATCTTGTCTAGATAAATATAATCTGAATGATTAGTACTTAGTTATATGTAACATCTAAATCAATATTTGTTCTTAATATTAGTCATTTGTCTGGTAATGATCTAATTCAAATCAGCCTGCAAGTATTTGGCTCAATTAGCTTACTATCATACTTGTAAGTTACACAATGAATTGAGAAACACATCATTAATACAGTTAGTTATCGCTTTTTAATACTACTATAAGATACGTGAATATAAATACTGTTCTTAAAATTAAATCATTCTAAACAAATACGTAAATAAACTTGCAAATGAAGGTCAAAACTAGAAAATCATTTCAAGTAATATAAACCACGAAATTTACTTTGTATATTAGTATTCGAATACTTCGAAAGCAAATTTAGCATTAAGAGATTTTATCTGTAATAAATCTCTGATAGATAGCTTTTAGTATAACTATTTAGGATAAAAGCTGATGTTCAATTAAATCTACCGGGTATGCATCTGAATTCTCGTACATTAATTTAGAGATCTATCTGGAAATGGACTGACTACCGTAAAGTCATCCGGAATGGAAGATACGTCAGATTTATTTAAAAATCTAGAAAAAATGTGGGTAAATCGATGATGGTACCTAGCGCAAGTGTATTAATCAAAACTGCTTAATTTTATTTTGACCATTGTTTGACAGCTATTGTTCATGACTATTTAATTTAAATCAGTAATTTAAGTGTGAACAAACTAAAACCTTCAACGTTGATGCTGTTGCATTTCAACAATTTACGTCATCTGAGGGAAATGTTAGTAACAAAGAAGATTTTCTTAATCAAATATATCGATTTAACTAAAAAAAAATTACCATCAAATTGTTAGAATAAAAGCATTTCAAATTGATTCAAAGCATATAAAGTTATCGAGTTCTCTTATTATTAGAGCATATGAAAAAAATGGTCTTCAAAGCATTGATGATTTATCTGGATTTATCTATCTTCGACGTTTGTTAGTAGTTGAATCAATTAATCTTGCCATATCATTTTCTAGAGTCCTTACACAGTTATCATGAATATCTTTCAACATTATCAAGGAACATGAATATTATAATATCCTATTTAGGTCATTCAGGAATAACTATTTAACCAAATTCCGTCCGAAATTTACTGAAAAATTATCTAAATTGCAATTACTGTATGTATAACTTGAGACAGCTGTATATTTTGATAGCAACGATTTGCAATATTTTAAATGATTAATTTGGTGAAGAGATATTTATGTAAGCGCGCTTATAAATTGGTAGTATATAACAGTTTATTAGTTTCCTTACATTTACTACAAATAATTAAAAAACAGCCTATCCATACACTCAAAAAATATTTAATTTTTACTCTAAAAGTACCTAGCAGAATCACAATAGTCCATTTCTGATTGCACAGTTTGGCATAGCTGATAGTAGCTGCTTAAGCAATACTAAATAGTGACATTTAAATCTTAATGACACTATAAATAGGCTTCTTTAAGCTTCTCAATATTGAATTAGTTTAAAATAAAGGAAATATCTAAAAATTGTAGTATTATAACGATATCATTTCATATTATTTCTTAACGAAATCGGGATATTTTTCAGCACGGTTTCGAACTTTTCATAGAACGAAACTAACGAAAATATATATTTAATGATGTAATGTAACTTAGTATTGTGATTGTAGACTGTTAGCCATGTGTAGTATAATGTACGGTAGATATTTATCCTAAGAGATATTTGTTAGCTGTAACTATAGACTGTAGTGGTAGAGACTCTATGCTAGAGTACAGATGACTATATACAGTAAGGTGTTGAGTTACTAATATGGCTATAGGTAAAAATAGAACAGTAAATCATATATTAGGATATGGTTAATTCATTGTACTTTGGCTGGTGTGAATAATGTCTACGTAAGTACTGTAGTCGTATCCATATTGGATTAATGATGGTCCGCAGTAGAATAGTCTTACTAAGAATAATTTAACTATGTGTAAAATAAGGTAAAAGGTTGCCATGCGGATTGTAGCTGCGAATGCTACGAAAAGTATAAAAGCATGCAACTTTAGATTATTCTGTTAGTTCGTTCTAGAAGTCTTTAGAAGTAGTATTCGGCTAGAGTAGAGCTGTGTAGTTAATCTTTGCATAAGATTGAATAAAGCCCTTATTTTTCTAAAATTTGGAACTTCGTGATTGGTATATATCACAAATGACTATACTGCTATCGTATTTTTGAATACTTTGGCGAAATGGTTTCGAACTAGTTAGTTTAATGTATTTAACAGGTAGTAGCTGTAATCGATCATTTAATTTCTTTAAAAAGATCTTGAATATCTATTGCCTTAGAGATTTGTCATGCAATGGGATAACCAATTTTGATTGGAAGGTGCTTCATTATATGCCTAATTTGAAACAAGTGTAAGCAAAAACAGATCGATCAATTTTAAATCCTAAAGACTACATGAGTATCTCCTTGTGCGGGTATCCGTAATAGTAGTTTAATACTTATAATGCTTACGATATGATTCTAAAATTAACCTGTATTATAACTGTAAACTTACCGAAATATTTAAAACGTGTTAGCAATTTAGAATTTAACTATTTAATAAAGCTCCATCGAGACTTCAAAGTTGAAGAGTTCCGGTTACAGATACTGTAAGGAAACCATATTCCATGCTAATGCCTTAGAAATTAAATACTGTATGTTCAATTCGATTATTAACAGAACATTTAAATCATACTACTATCATCGACCAAATTTTAACCCATACAGCTCAATCAAAGCCAACTACATTACCGAAATCGAAGATAATTTCTTTTCTATATTCGTTGGCCTAAAAACTCTGTAAATACGTATTGATAAATCAATTTTTCTGTGACTATAAATTTATATAACTATAAAATACTTTATATCCTGTTAAATACTAATTTGATACTATTTGCAACTGTTTCACGCTACAAATACTGGACATTAGATATCAGTGAGAATTTGCTTGCATACGAAATTTAAATTCATGCTACTAGGCTAGAATCATGTCTTAAATACAGGAGCTTTGTGCGAAAAGGCTTGTTTTCTGTAATGTCTATTTAAGACCACTCAGCTGACTTTAGCGTCACAATTAATTATAGAAAGTTACAAATAACCTACTGCAAATAAGCCATGCTTCCTGCTAAGACTCGTTGCCAAGTACGATAGATACTTAGCAAAAATTGAAATGTAGATATCATTAGAACCTATTACGGATCAAATCTACAACCGTTCTTACAGATTATATTTAAAATTCAACGATCTTAGAAGAGCGGTACATTAAACAATGAAATAATGGATATAGTTATAATTTGTATATATTTTACACTATAGTATTCTAGCTCCTTTATCTACACGTAAATAACACTCATTCAAATCTTTGATCTGGAAATATAGTTAATGAAATATATGGTAGTAAACCCCAGATGTGTACAGGGAGCTACTACTGATATAAAACTAATCGAAACTAACCTTTAAATTTCCAGTGATCTAAGTGCTAATCGTATCAAGGTCTTACCAGGATACCTATGTAATGACACGCTACTTTCAAAGCTGTAAGGTTGAATGTGGTAATGCGATAAGATCTATCATTAATTAATTACATTGTGGTTAAATTATATTGTTAGCGACCTCAGCCGTAACAGAATTGGACGAATAAAGCCGTCAGTTTTATCAGAATGCTATCTGGTGGTATCACTGTAAGTAATTCTTAACGATAACATTTATAATATAGAAATAGTAAAACGGTAAAAACAATAATAATTCTAATGACAATTATTTCTCAGTTAACTTTCTCCACGTAATATAGATATCACGACAAAATTAATGATACCTAATGCTAACAAACGAAACCTTTGTATATTAATTTTTGCTCGTCTTAAGATCAGATTATCTGATTAAGCTTAGCTATTCTTTCCGTGATGAAATAACGATATTGTGTGTTTGAGTCTCTGCTTGCAGATGTTGTAACTTAGATTAAGCAAAGTGTAAGTTGATGACGAAACTCAATGCAAAAGATTTAGTTTCTTTTCGTAACTTACTTAATAATACTTATCAAATAACAGTATTGGCCAGTACTAAACAATTGGTAATGCAATAGCAGCGAATTAAGCTATGCAAAATTGTGCACATATTTATGCATATTTCATCTCTGCATTGTATGTACTATGTTTCATACTTATAATATATTTCTTTTTCTTTTGTGTCTTCATCTGTATTTAGAAATTTGACAGAAAATCAAATACATCTGTTAGCAAGTAACACATTCAGAAACATGATCTCCTTGAAATATCTGTAGGATAAGAGTTTAATAAATGTTGTCTGAAATGAGCAGTAAT